TTTGACTGTCGACTCGCTTCTTATTTCTGCAGCGAAACCCAGCAGCCTTCATTCTGTTTTTATCTGAAAAGTGTCTCTTATGGAATCTGCTGCTTTCTTTACTGACACACAAACATTTTTCTGTAACGTTTCATTCTGTGCTGGAAAACTAATGTTTGGAATCTGAAATGTTTTTGTACTGAATCAATAATGTAGAAGTTAGAAAATAAACATCTGTAACAAAGTTTGTATGAAAAAAAAAGTACTGTAAATGAATAGCTCAAACCGCAAATGCCTGCATGCACCATTACAAAACGGTGACATTTAACTCCTGACATGAAAATAAACTGGATAGCAGATTGCTAAGTTGCACGTACTATATCGGACAGGTTATAGAGCCCAAAAACTGATAATGGTTATAGAGACAAACTGTGCGAGTGTATGGAAACAGGCTGACGTCCTGCCCATGGAGCTGAGCAGCTATAACTTTTCAGGGGAAAGCAGCTAACACATGTTTGATCAGATTAGAAAATTATAGTTTACAATATATTCTTATAGAAAGAAGTCATCTTTGATCACGGCACCGCAAACTAACCCTTTATGTATTTACGAATGTTATAATTTCTATCAAAAATGCAGACAAAATGCATTTGGTATTGAGGAGTTAGGAAATAGATGGAATAACTCACTTTTATTACTGTAAATATCACCAAGAGAAGAGTTTAAAGCCACGAACAAAGAAGAGCACTTCTGAATGGTGATCAGCGATTGAGCGTTAGGAAAAAAATCTTAATGATCAATAGAAATTTTGGACAATGGCAAATTTCACTACACAGATTTTGCCTGATTTTCCTGCATTCTGATTTTTATTTGATTCTTTAAATCCTGAATGGTCTGGTTATGTTGAACAAAAGATCCACACAATCAGTTTTTTCAGTTTCTGAATTTACTGAGGCATTGGACTGAAGTAGTGCTGCTTAAAGTGCTGCATTCATTGATCTTTCAAAGGCTTTTGAAACAATTGATCAATGTATATGTTTGAACAGATGTTGCTCAGCTTTGGTGGTTTAATTGGGCTGTTGCTCGGTTTGCTAAATATCTCTCAGCACTAGAATACAATGCGTACAGATAGCCGTGTGTACCTCCTCAGTCCAGGCCATTTCTGTTCTGGGTCCCATATTGTTCTGTTTATATATTTATAACTTTGTGATAAGCTGTCTAATGTACACTACCATTTTTAATATTAGTCCATTCTACCTTTTTGTGTCTTAGATATTATGGTAATCTACTATACATGACCAGCTCTGCCCAATGTTTATCCTAAACAGTGTATATCACTGTGTGTTATTGGTTTATTAGATTATATTAGACTAGATGACTAACTGTATTGTCATTGAGCAGATTACAAAGCCAATGCCAATGCAGTTAGCATCTAAACCGAAGTGCAAAACAGCAAGTCGCATTAAGTATAAAGTGCAAAGAGACAATGAGAAAGTAAAGTCCAAGTGACGTGCAAATGACAATGAATGGAGGTAGTACTGTGTGACCTGTTTAAGATTAGAAAATGCTTTCTTCACATATCCCAGCCTAGGAAGCTGGGGTCAGAGTGCAGAGTCAGACATGATAAGGCAACCCTGGAACAGAGACGGTCAAGGCCTTGCTCAAGGCAGTGGCACTGCTGCGGCTTGAACCCCTGGCCTTGACCATTGAGCCATCATTACCCTAATAAAATACAGCGAAATTCTTTTTTTTCACAAGAGCAGCTTTTTAGGAAGCTGGTGCCTGATCTCATGAGCCCTGGAGCAGAGAGGGATAAGGGCAGTGCCAGGGCTTAAACCCCCAACCTTCTGATCAGTATCCCAGAGCCTTAACCATTGATCAATTGAGCACTGTCCATTACTGACTGCAAATACTCTACGCACCACTGAACTGCACTCTAGAGCTCAATGGCCATCATTATATGGGGCAGTCATGGCCTAATGGTCAGAGAGTCGGACTTGTAACCTGAAGGTGAATCTGAAAGTCGTGGGTTCAAGTCTCAGGTCTGGCAGGGATTGTAGGTGGGGGAGTGAA